AAAACATGCAGAACTGTCCTGTCTGACTCATTCCACCAGGATAAAACTGGGTTTATTTGGTATGTAATTTTTCTGGTTTGTAATTTGACATTTGACAAGGGAGATGTAGAGTGTTCTTGACGCCTACTGGTAAAAGTTTATACACTGAGTATTAAATATGTTTCACAGTTGGAGATGACTATTTGCTGTTTTTAAATGATTTGGTTTTCCATCAAGTCCATTTTCATCAGACTTTTAATTCTCAGATGCTCTTCATGGAGCCCTGGAGACAGAAAAAGGGGGAGTCAAAAATAAGTGTGAACTGAAAATTGATCAACTGAAAGTGAGTCAGCAACCTCTGTGATAACTGGTTAATTATAGTTGCGAGCGAAAATGTTGACTGTTCTCTAGTTCTGTGTTCTCTAATGTGAGCATTTGCTGCTTTTGTCTTGTATCATTATGATGTAAATACGTTTGGGTTTTAGAACAATGGTTTTGGGACGTCACGTTGTTCTCTGGGAAACTGTGATCAGCATCTTGTATTCGTTGACTAAAACATTTGCACATTTGTCGACAATGAAAATAGTAGTTGTAGTCCTAGTCACAGCATTGACATTGAGGCCTGATGAAGATGGTGAGCTGTGGTTGAAAGCAACGAGAAGCCAGTAACTGGACCTCAAGAATATTACTCGGGTATTAAATGTAAAAGTTCCAGGTCTTGATGAACAGAGATTGACCTATTGATAGTTGATTGTCAGGCTCTTAGGCTCATAATCCTGCATTGATCATCTGCAGTGTGTTCAAGTGGGGTTGTGTTTATTGACCATGTTTTCTCCACAAGTAGACATTTTCTGTAGGCTCAGAGTTGTGCATAATTTTAAGTGAGAAAGTTTAACTTTTGAGGAGGCAACACAGTTTAAATCATCGGTCCTGTACAGTCAGGGGTTTGGCTAAATTAGCTGAACTGAGCTAACTTACTGTGAATGAAAGGAAAGTCAAAAATTCTATTTATTATATAAATTTACTACCCTGTAGAGTCGATCTACTTTATTGGTTCAGATTATATTAGGCTATCTTGGTGCGTAGGCTGATTATTCAGATGACCACAAGTAAACCAGCACACACAAACTTGGAGGCTTGTATATTCCATTATAGAAATACTGGTTGGTTTCTGGGCTGTGTGCACTGTAAAGACAGGCACATTTGTGAACAATACCTCAGTGACGCACTGTTTCATTAGAACATTAGTTAACAACCTGTGTTATACTGCTGACATGTAACTCTGTTAGTGGTTTTGAACCTGTTCAGTCTGTCCAAAGAAACACTGCAGGCTGGGGAACATGTCTGCTCATGACTTGCTATGCCTAGGTCTGTGAATGTGCTCTTGTAACCACGAGAACCAATTTTAGACTTTGAGGACAGTTTGGTTATTCCTCACTAGTTAAGAGCTATATAACAGTCGTTTCAGGGTTAAGACTTGGTTGTACACTTGAGGATAGAATTGGCTTTAGGTTGTGGATTATGTAATGAAGGTTCTTCACAAGCACATGAAGTATAAACCTGTGTCTGTGGGCTGAGTTTTTGTTTGAACAAGCTCATTTGGTCTGTTGTGTACATTCTGAAGCAGCCGGTTCAACCTGTTACATAATACTTTTCAGTCTTTCTCTCTCTCTCTCTCTGTCTTTTACTGTACATGCCAGAAGCTTCATTAGCATTGATATTCAGGTTACCCTATTCACAGGGCTAAATTACAAATTGACTATTACATTTCTACAAGAATAAGTAAAATGGAAAACAAACATAAGACAGCCAATATCTTAAACAGTAGAAGCATTTATGTCCATTTCTCAACACAGAAGAGAGACCCACACAAAAACCAGCAGCAGTGATTTGACTTTTAAGTCAAAAGTAACTAAAAAGACATTGCAAAATAAGCCTTGGTGCATCCAATCAGGCTTTAATAGGTTCCAAGAGTAGTGGCTGGTTACTCCTATGAACACTGGCATCTCATCTCACCTCAGCTCCACCCAGAGAAGGGCCTGCACCACAGGACCACCTTCTACATCCTCAGCAGCCAGCTCCTGGAAGCTGATTTAAGAAGAAAAAGCTAGAACATGGAAGATGGGAACAAAGCAGAGAGCAAATAAGTGTACAGTAGGCAACAACAGCAAAGGAGCCAGTGTGTCAACCATTGCGTTGCCCTGCTCTTTGATATGCCTAATGTCTAGGTTGTGAAATGGAACAATAGAGTCTAGTGAATAAGGATTCTGCATAGAACTAAATGGGTAACTCAGCACCACAGGCACAGAGCTCACATTAAAGTTAGTGCTTCCTTTTCAACATATGAGGACTTCCTCTTATGTTTGACGAGTTTCTTTGAAATGAAACACAGTGGCTGTGAAGAGCTGTTTCTTTCCTAAAGTGATGGGAAACCAGATCCACAAACCTAGTTTTTTGTTTAAAAAGTGTCAACTGGAGCTAACATGAGGTGTTAGCCTGAGTTCTTCCAAATTTAGTCTTTTTAGTACAAAGCTGCCTCGTTGTACAATTATCCCTGTACAGCTCAGCAAGGAAACCCAAAGAGAGAATTTAGATCTGTAAGTCTGGAAGCCTCATTAGCTTCAGCTGAACATTGGAATGTATTTTGCACACCATGAGGACCCCCATCACTTTCACTGGAGAAGCTTTAGTAACTTCATGGGCAGTATGGACAGGAGGAACAATTACAGCAATCATTCATTCTTATATGGACATTTAAATATTGTTTTAAGACAGACATTTAATGTCCTCAAAGCCTTTTAAAATAAAAGTTGGTATACATAACAATGGTGCCCAGCTTATTAATCATAATGACTTTGGGGATTTCAGTTTTTCCTAGCAGCAGTTTTCCCTTCATGAGAGCCTTCATAGCAAAACTGGAGCAGCTAACAAAGGGACGTTTTGTGCAGATGATCATGATTCCCAGATGATTTTTTTTTTTTTCCCCCCTCTGTGCCACCGTGAGACTATTTGTGATTTGGGTGAATTGTTTGTAGAAGTGTTGTGTGGATTGGCATAAAGCTGCTCTCAGCCTCACCCGTAATTTGTGTTTAGTGCTAATGAGCAAATGTCAACAAGCTAATGTGTTAACTAAGAGAACATGGTAAACATTACAGCTGCTTGACATCAACATGTTGGCATTGTTGTTGTGAGCGCGTTAGAATGCTGATGTTAGTATTTAGCTCAAAGCACTGCTGTGCTTCATGAAGCCAGACTAGTATGGCTGCCTTGCTGTTTACCAGGTAGCATTGTGAAGGATTTTAAATGCAGAGAAACCCTAAGTTATTAATAATTTGTGAAGTCCGCATTAACAAGTCATGTTTTTTCTCTAAAGAGATGTTGCTATTGATGTTTTGTGTTGTTTACATATTACAGGAGAATCTAATTGTATCCACACGTTACGTCAGTGCTCCATTGTCCTACTGACAACAAACATTTGCAGACGCTTGACTTGAACAATGCTAAAGGAACAACATCCTTCCTTTTGCCTTTACTTCCCTTTTTTACAATGAGGAGTGAATCTTTACAGGGATTAATAGGTGCAACAGTCAGCAAGGAGTGTGCAATTTGCAACATATGCAAACTGAAAATGTAAACAGTCAGGTGCAGTTAAATGAAGTAATCCCTGATTATAAACTCCTGTCAGCTTTTTGGAAGTCTGATGGCAGTGGGAAAGAAGTTTAATAAAAGGAGCGTGTCACATTGTGGCAGAAGGAGGAAGGGAGAAACGGTTGCTGTTAAAGCAACAGGAAGTAAAGTTAAATGAGGCACACCTGGGAGCAGGAGGTGGGGCCAGTTAACAAAGAGGTCATGGAGTAAAACAAGCAGAGATCAGTTTTAACTTCAGTCTGGAAGTCACCCTAAACTAAAGTCAAATTAAGTAGCAGAGTACAGGGAGTTAATAGGGAAAGTACTGTTTAACATTTAAGTGCTTATTTTGGAGCAGGTTGGATGAGGAATTTGTTGATTGGCTTGGATGAGGCCTACTCCTTCCCTGGATGGAACCTCCTGAAAGCTAAGTTCTTTTTTCCCTTTTACTCTCCAGGCTCCCCTCAGCACATTGTCACTCTCCTAACCCCTCAGTCACTTTCCCTTGCAACCTCCCCATCCCCTACCCTCCATACAAAACTGAGTTTTGAATTTTACATAAGGTGAAGTCAGGTAATTTGGGACACTTTTTTTGGTAGATTACCAAGAAAGCCGCCTGAAATTTGAAAGACTACCCTAAGTGTTACTTTTAGACGTTGTTATGGAGCTGCCATATTTCATTAAATTGCCAAGTAAAATACTTTACAAATGTTGGACCTTTCAAATATACCAAGTACCCCTACCTCACTCTGATGGCATGTTCAGGTAACATGGGGCAGCTCAAAACATCATGGGAATTAACTTAAACAAAATAAGAACATGATCAATTTTCAACAATATTAGTCTAAATCTTTACTAGACACACTCTCTGTAAACATATCCAGCATTTGAATGCCACTGTCTTGTCCACAGCTCTTTGGGAACCATGCCCCATATTCTACACAGGAGATACAGGCCTCTGTGGTTTGGGGTTACTGGTCTCAAAGATAGTATCAAAATATGCAGGGATGCCCATTTGTTTGTTTTGTAGTAAATTTGCTTTTGCTTTTTTTTTCTTCCCCAGGGTGTTCTTTGAATGTATGTAGTTAATGTGCTCTGTTGCGGCTAACATATACTCACTGTATCATCTTTAGTATTTTTAAGAGACCAAAGTACTAAAAATGGCAGGGAGGCGCACAATAGTGTAGTAACCCATGGTTTTATGGCACTGGTAGCCCAGGAACATGTCAGTTTCACTGCTAAACAAATGTCCCAGTTTAGCTGTTGCATGGATCACTCACTCAAAACCTTTTCCACACAAAAGGTAAAGTGTGTTGTTAAAATATTTTGACTGGAAGTGAAACTGTTAACCACTTTTGGTGTTACACCCTTGTTCTAACTGTAGGACACTTATTACCAAAAGGCCACATTAGCATGGCACAAGTCTTCACTCGCAGGTTCAAGGACCAGTGACATTTTTTTAATCCCTCTGTCCATCTTATTTATTTCAGACCAATCAAAATGGCTGTTTCATAGCAACAATATAACATGTGGTAATTGGCTGCTAATATTTATAGAGCCCAAAATGTAAAACCTTATTTGTCCCATTTTATGTGATGCTCCAAATTACCTGACTTCACCCCAGTATCCTTCCTTCAGTAGGCCCTATTTAGTGCTGACTGGTGTTTATCTTGGTGATGCAGCTTACTTTTGTGGCAAGGTTATAACCTTCTGGGAAGATTGTATTTCCTGTTATACTCTAAATAACGGGTTAGGAATGTAGGTAATCGTCCTCCTGTCTGGCGCCCAGTCATATTTACCTTCGCTGCAACATCAACATGTTTTGTTCTGTTACTCTTAAGTACTTGTTTTCTAGCAGCTTATGATCCCTGACCACTCTAGGTGTCTCACTCTTTATCCAGGATCTTAATTATCCTGCTGGATAAATCTCAGCCTAGAATGCATAACATGAATGTTTATGTGTATGAAAATGAAGACAAAGAGTTCACAGTCAGTTTTCATACTCTTTATTTATCGGTGCTGCAGTTCAGGGACCTTGAGCAGCCACCAGCAGCTCCTACAGCAGGAACAACAGAGCTTTTTTGCAGGAAAATATATTAAACATTACTTTTTGAAGTAAAAACATTGTGTTTTAGCCTATTTTTTCAAAATAAAGACAGTCAAATCTCCTCCCGAAGCTCAGATCTCAAAAACCACATTTCTTTCTCTTAGTTTAATATTAAAATGCTTTTAATATCTCAAGGTTGTTTTTATTACAAGACCATGTAAGCCAGAACTTTTAGTTCCTCCTTGTTGCTTCAACACAGAAGCCACATGCAGTCTGATTTATACCCTGTTCCTCATACAAGGACGAACCTTTAATAGAGCCACTGTCATAGCAACAAGTCATCATGACCAAGACTTGTATGGTTTTGGAAGAGAACAAGTAGGTTATGGGGAAAACATTCTTTGTCTCTGTTTGCACTATTGCAAATTAATTAGCCTGGGTTAATTAAGCCAGGCTTAAAGAACAAGACCCTGATGGGACAAGTACTATAGGTCCTTGTTTAGGACAGCATTTGTTTAAACACTAGAACTGGCAGGTGGGCGGGGGCGTACAGCAGCAGACTGTGGTTACCTCCACCCACAGAGTAGGACAGTAGTTACCAATTTGTCTGTCAGCTGCAGATGACTTGGGCCCCAAAACATTAAACCACATTTAAATGGCAGCGCCACTTGGACTTTTCATGTGTGTGGGTGAATAAAACCACTTGAGAAACTTTCATTCAGTCAAGCTGTCACAACAAGCTGAAAGGGAAGGGAAACAAAACAAAGGGAGTCATAGAAAGGGCATTTATATTATCTTAATCAAATTGCACTTCACTAAGAAGAAATTCTCTCTGGGCAGGTACTATAGATAATCATCTATACAGAAACATTGATACATCTGAATAAGTTATAGAGATGAAAACATGCAGCGTGAGGAAGGAAAGGGAAGAAGACAGAATATAAACAAATGTCAAATGACTGCAAAGAGTTCAAAATGTGAACAAATATAAGTTGACAAACATTCAAAAAATGTTCTGTAACAGGACAGATTGAGACACTGGGGTAAACGGGAACGAATTTTAGTTTTTTTTTTTTTAAAGGTAATTTTCTGTTTATATTTTTTTTTTTACCTTTTGTAATGTTGTAATGTTTGTGTTAAATATCCTTAATAAGATAGTAGCAGCAGGTTTTTAAAATTATTATGAATGTTTAATTTTTTTGGGCTCTGTTTTCCAGCTGCAAGGGATGATGGACCTGACCTCAGGACAGCTGTGGTGGTTTGCACCGAAATCAAAACCATCTTAACCGCTGACATCACTGCTTTATTTCTTTTTACATCAATAGTTTCTTCTTTGCTGGATGTTTCATTAAGAGCAGTGACATAAAGAACAATTTTCTCCAACTATAATGCAACATTTCCCTTGGAGCTGCCTCTATATTGCTTTTTTTTTTAATTTGTGGAAACAAAATCTCTTCTTTCTCTGACTTCATTGCCTATTGTAAAAATTTCCCATCACTGTTGCTCCAAGAAGTCTAAATGCCACTGTTCGAGCCAAAAACTAAAGATCATTTGAATCTTTGATTGGAGGAGTTTAATCTGGAGGAGAAACAGGATGATGTCAGTGTTAAGGTGGTTTTGGTAAGCGGCTCCCTGTCTGATCTCTAGGAGGTACTGACTGGCTGCAGAGGTGGGCAGGGGGAGGAGCTGCCATCCTGTCGGGACAACGGGACACTGCAGACACTCAGACTCCCTCCTCCATCTGTTATCGCCCCCATTGCAGGTGTTGTGCCCTCCTGGACAGTGGTGGTGTCTTCATTGTAGAGGCGTTTTATGCCATCATAGAAGTCATCCACCTCCATCTCCTCCACCTGAACACACACACATTTGTACTGTGACTCTGATCTAGGGCTGCAGCTACCAGTTATTTTCAAAACCTTATGATTAATCAGTTAATCATTAACAAGTCAGAAAACAGATATAAAAACTAAGAAAAGCAGCAAACATTTACATGAAGCTGGAACTTGATGTTTATTCTTTTTTTTTGCTCACTGTGAGATTCATTTTGTTCACAAAATATTTAATCTACAAATTCTATCAGTTTTATCCATTTCCTATGTGAAGCTGAGAGGAAGATGGCAGTACCTTGCGCTTGGCAGAGGCCTTGCAGTGCAGTGTGGCCTTCTGCAGGTGCTTAAGACGGGGGAGGTGTCTGGACGGGGAGAGCAGAGCTGGGATGCTGCTGTCAGAGGAGGAGCAGATGGAGCTCCAAGGCTGCTGGCTGCCCTCCTCAGCTCCTGCAGGTCTCTGTGTCTGGGCAGCGGAGGTGGTGATGAGGACGTGGTCCCTGGAAGACTCCGTGGTGGAAGTGATGGTCCCTGGAGAACAAAACATTACAGAAATAATTTTACTTTTTGTACAGAATACTGAAAATACTCAAACGGTAAATATTTAACTAACGTCCATTACAAAAGTCAGTGCAGCAGAGAGGTAGTTTTTATTTCACTCATTCTTCTTCCTTGTGAAAACTAGGTGCCTACATTACCCACAATACAACTCCATTCCTGACAGTTCCATCATAGATTCGAGTGTGTTATGCAAGTAGCTGTTAATGTAGCCTGGAGCAGAGGTGATGAACAGACTACAGAGGTTTCACTTGTTTTTAACTCCATACTAAACGTACCCAGTGTACAGCAGGTGAGTCTGAGGTCCGGGGCCGGAGGCTGCAGCGTGGTTAGGCTCTGCAGGGGTTGGTAGATGTAGACAGTGTTTGGAGGCAGGGAAGCTCTCGATGTGGACAGACTACGAGCCACTAGCTCTCGACTCCTGATCAGCTCAGAGCTGTCGATCTAGACAGAATAAGGGAGAGGAGTAGGGAGATGGCAAGGAAGACGTTTACATTTGGGTTTCTGCAGTTCTAACAGTGTCCCCTAGAGGCTGCAGTGTTCATTACAGTCACAATATCAAGGTGCTGGAAGCTCAAAAAAGCCTTTCCAGAGCCCCATTCTTAAAATGTATTACCATTGCTTACATGATGGTATCCAGTTAAAATGCTTCTGTTAATTCTCATCCAGCTCACTTGTCAGTTTGCAGATGGAGGGTTTGTTTTGTTAAATCTAGGATAAAGCTATCTTAAAAACCAGTGTGCTCTTTATATTAAACCATACAGGAGCACATTGACTTTTCTCTCCATGCATCTCCTCTCTATGGTTGTGTCCTCTCCCTATAACCTTTGCAGGTATCCTCGGCTCTGGAGCTGTATGTTTCTGATGAACAGTCACTGGCCACATTAATCGGCCCAGTGTTTGTTGTTGTTGTCGTCTTGTTGCTCTTTTCTTTTCTCTTATTGACTTTGAGATCCATAATATAAAAGGTTGGGAAGTCAAACAGAGAGGCAGGGTCTAAACCAAATAAAAAAAAATTACATGATACTTTTTAATTGCCCTGTATCAGTATGAACTAACACCTACTAACCTACTTCCAGTCATTGAAGCTGGTCCTAAAACTGTGTGAACTGATGCTGAAACCATCAAGTCTCTCATAAATTTGGTTATGTAGACTACTACTGATACACTGCAGGTTGGATGGAAAGCTTGGGCAGGCTCAATGGGGCGGGTGCGTCGCCAGTTGACAAGCTATATGTGACAAGTTGCACATAATAAAGAGTCTTGTACCTGTGCCTTCCTTAGCAGGTCAAGCGTGAGAGCCAGCCAGTCAGGACAGCAGGTCTCCAGCTCCAGAGTGATGAGGGCCAAGGACAACATAGATCCTCTGAGCTACAGCAACAAATGAGGGACAAACTATTCATTGTCCAGTATGTAACAGGGTGAAGCAACCAAGCATTAAAGAAGTTATAAAACAAAAAACATAAAACAAGTTTTAAAGGCAAATGCATGATTTACCAGACTTCAGCCGAGCAGTGGTTTTTACAGTGCAAGGTGAAGTGTGTGTGTACCTACCTGTATAAACGTGTGGTCAGACAGACAGTGGTAGAGTCGCTGTGTGAGCAGGGCAAGGTGCTGAGAGCAGTTCAATCCCAACAACATGGAGTCCAAAAAGCCAGAACGACATGACATCACCATTGCATGGAACTATGGGAAGCGAAAAGGGGAGGAGGAAGCGCAGGAGATGGAGACATATGAATTATGAGTCCTATTCTGTTTTAAACAATTAGCTGGTTGGTAACATGATGAAGCAAATTAAAAACCAATTTAAAAAATAAATGTTTTCTTTAATCATTTTGATATTAAAATCAGTCTAGGGTGAAATCCTTGATCAAAGCTTTTCCATATTTCTTGCTACCTGCTACCTGTGTAGACAATTACACAACAAAAGATTCAAGTTAGAGATTCAAACATCTTTCTAAGTCAAACAGTAAGCTAGAATTTTTTTCCTGTGAAGTATTTTATGTTGTTACTTGGGGTAATAGCTCCAAACCAGAAGGGAATAAAATGCTGAACGGTGTTTAAGGGTGTTTTTGAGCAGCCGACAGACACAGATTATTAAAGGTGATTTATATTAACTTACTGAAACATTATGATCCTGAAGAAAAATGGAGTTAAAACATTGCAAAGCTGTGTAAAATGAATTAAAATAAACTATAGGTGTTTCAGCAAAGTCAACAGCATTATCCAGCATGAACATCTAAGCCATTAACTTCTTGGCACCAGGTGTCGCTGTGTGAACTGACTAGAAATCTACAAACAAGCACACTGCATAGTGGCAATCAGATGTGTTATTCACTGATAGATCTTTGAATGTGTTAAATGTTAAATCAACTAACATTTCTGAAAAACACATTTTTAACTTTAAAAACTTCAGCTGTAGCCCAGATAATGTCAAGCACACTGAGGGTGTGTGTGTGTGTGCGTGTGTGTTACTGATGTACAATATGCAGGAAGTCCAGTGCTGTGGCAGTGTGCAGATCCCAGTTCAGTTTGTCCAAAATGATCCTCTCCATCCTCATGATCTCTGATGGAGAACAGCCACAGCTGCTGGAGGCCACCAGCTCCTTCAGGGAGGGCACACACTGGCATACACATGAACACATGCACACAGTTACCTTCAGCTGTCCCAGTGCACTGTGACACTCATAAAAAAACCTAATTAAATTTACAAACGAGTCTGTTGCATCTCTGATGCCTTGTGTGTGCATGCTGTGCGTATAGTGTTTGTGTTCACCTCGTCCTCCTCACATGTCTTGGCTGCCAGGAAGAAGCAGGCGATGGCAATGCAGCGCAGGTACTTTGGACGGGCCTGAAGACAAACAATTCAGACAATTAGTAATCAATAAAAAACTTACAGAAATGTACTGAATTCAACATGACCTCAGTTCTTTTTCAGCATTCTTTGTTACTGCTGGGGACAGTAAGAGTCAGCCAGTAACAATGTTTTCAATCAGCAAATGGTGCTAATGTTAATTTACTTACTGTAGCTTGCTAGTTACACTTGTCTGTGACAGTTGTCATTTTTCTGGCTAAAAATGAGAAACCTGCTTCTGTCTCCTTCTGTCTGAAATGAAATACCCATTGTTTCAAGCATTGTTTGGAGTTCAGAGTCGTAAACTACCACCTTGACCACTGTAAACTGCATAAGTACTAAGAAAGAATAGACAGTTGGACAGACAGATTAGCAGTCTCGCAAACTCACTCACGGGACTTTTTTCTACCAAAATCAAGTATTACGTGATAAGGATCTCCTTGAATGGGCATAAAATCCAAGCCATTGCGCTTTCATGTGAGCTTGCCTGACATCCACCGGTGCCATTGTAAAAGTGGACTATTTTGACCGCATGTGGTTTTGTAGATACATTTTACCTCCTACTGCTGCACTGTGACCAGAGGATGTGGAGAAAAATACAGGGCCTGAGGTTACTGCATGTCTGGGAATGTTCCTGTACAGGGACTCGCTGTTTTTCCCGACCGGGTCTAACCTACAAGCAGCTGGCCTGTGAAGCCCCCCCGCCCCAGCAGTGACTGATCGGCTCATTAGTGCTGGATTCACCCGGAGTACAGTACCTGTTTGTTTTGACTGCTTGAGGCCAGTGTGTGTGCCGTATTTGATGTGTTGCTGATTAACAAGGGGATTAATGACCCATGATGTCATTGTCGGAGCTATGCTACCTGTCGGAATTAATTTCACTACTTTGGGACTGTATATGTGTGGGGGAAGACGCAGCGACCACAGGTTGGAGTTACCGACCTTGGAGCTATGTGATAAGGGAGTGATGTTTCCACTACTCGGTGGGACTGAATGGTAAGTTTAAAAAACACACGTTGAATGTCTGTTAATGTGTTGTTTCTGTAATGTTAGAGAGAATTGTTGTAAGGCTGGAGAAGTTACTGTCTGCAATATGGCAGTTAAAATATAGGGTTTCTCAACTACCTGCTTTGTTTAGAGTGTTACACATCTCTTTTCATTGGTACATATACTGTTGTTTACATATCTATGGAGGAGAAATTCACATGAATTAATGCCATAATCCATCGTTGTTTGAAGCAAAGAAGTTTGTGTTTGTATCAATCAGTATCTGCATCAGCAGAACTACATAGGCAATTCTGTTTCAAAACATGAATCAGAGATTTTGTATTAGACTGAGGGGTTTCTACTTCAACACTCACAATATACATTAATCGCATAGTCATATAAAGAAATGAGGTATCAAAGTCGCACACAGACACACAACTTATGTACAATATGCAGGAATTCCAGTGCTGTGGCAGTGTGCAGATCCCAGTGCAGTTTGTCCAAAATGATCCTCTCCATCCTCATGATCTCTGATGGAGAACAGCCACAGCTGCTGGAGGCCACCAGCTCCTTCAGGGAGGGCACACACTGGCATACACATGAACACATGCACACAGTTACCTTCAGCTGTCCCAGTGCACTGTGACACTCATAAAAAAACCTAATTAAATTTACAAACGAGTCTGTTGCATCTCTGATGCCTTGTGTGTGCATGCTGTGCGTATAGTGTTTGTGTTCACCTCGTCCTCCTCACATGTCTTGGCTGCCAGGAAGAAGCAGGCGATGGCAATGCAGCGCAGGTACTTTGGACGGGCCTGAAGACAAACAATTCAGACAATTAGTAATCAATAAAAAACTTACAGAAATGTACTGAATTCAACATGACCTCAGTTCTTTTTCAGCATTCTTTGTTACTGCTGGGGACAGTAAGAGTCAGCCAGTAACAATGTTTTCAATCAGCAAATGGTGCTAATGTTAATTTACTTACTGTAGCTTGCTAGTTACACTTGTCTGTGACAGTTGTCATTTTTCTGGCTAAAAATGAGAAACCTGCTTCTGTCTCCTTCTGTCTGAAATGAAATACCCATTGTTTCAAGCATTGTTTCAAGGGAGTGATGTTTCCACTACTCGGTGGGACTGAATGGTAAGTTTAAAAAACACACGTTGAATGTCTGTTAATGTGTTGTTTCTGTAATGTTAGAGAGAATTGTTGTAAGGCTGGAGAAGTTACTGTCTGCAATATGGCAGTTAAAATATAGGGTTTCTCAACTACCTGCTTTGTTTAGAGTGTTACACATCTCTTTTCATTGGTACATATACTGTTGTTTACATATCTATGGAGGAGAAATTCACATGAATTAATGCCATAATCCATCGTTGTTTGAAGCAAAGAAGTTTGTGTTTGTATCAATCAGTATCTGCATCAGCAGAACTACATAGGCAATTCTGTTTCAAAACATGAATCAGAGATTTTGTATTAGACTGAGGGGTTTCTACTTCAACACTCACAATATACATTAATCGCATAGTCATATAAAGAAATGAGGTATCAAAGTCGCACACAGACACACACTGTTTCTTATCAGAAATATGCTGAGTCTAGCATCTGATAATCCTGGAACATCTTAACCCTCTGCTAAAAACATCCTGTCTGTGCTGTGGGATGTTGTCGTGACAGGTCTGAACATCCACAACTGACATTTCCTGTTCTTGTGTCTATGGTGACCATCTGCTGTGAGGCAACTGTAAGAAAAGCCTTATTATCATGGCTGGGCAGCTGTGGGACTCAAAGTGACGTGAGATCCCTTTAGGGTGCCTGAGGGTTGCAAAATGACTTCTGCAAAATATGTGGAGCTCTTAACTGGCCGTTTCTTGCTACAGTATAAAAAGAAAAATCGTGCATTCTTCTAGAACAAAATTATTTTCAAACAGGACAATGCGCCATCCCATGCTGTAAAAAACAAAACAAAACACCCATTGACTCTTTGGATGCTATGGGCATAAAAGGAGACCATCATCACATGACCTCAACCTTACCATTCTTGGTAATAGTAGTAGCAAAACTGTAGTATTTTTATTTTAGGGAGTTTGTGAGCTACAAGCAGACATGGAGTTAATAATTTCTGTGTTTCAGTAATAATCAATAAAACAGCTTCACCGGTCTCTGCTAATGCTCACTGTCACAGCTGTTCTACTGTAGCAATGGTAATATTTACTGTATTTACCTTGATGGGTGCGAGGAAGCGGTCCAGGGTGCTAACAGCTAACACCAGGGTCTCTGGGTACAGCTGCAGTCTGCCATGGAGCTCCATCAACCAGCGCACTGCCTCATCTCGCTGGGCAGGGGAGATGTCTGTATCCTACAACAAAAAACAGTATCAACATTAGCATCTTTCAAGGCCTTGGGATGTTTGTACCACTGACATATAAATGACAGACAGGCTGACAGCTCCCAGAAAAGAAGCCACCAAAAGTCAATTGCCCCTGATGGCCGGTTGCAGTATAGGTCATAAATCCTGCCTCCTCTATGTTACTGGATGAGACATGAGCCAAAGTATTAATCAAATAAATTTTTCGTGGGGGTATTATCATGTTAATGTGTGTACAAGTGCTCATATTTCTGGCAAGTTTGTTTTTAATAAGCTATTTCATTATATAAAAAGAGATGTACTGTATTTCAGATGATTTGACAGCTTTGATTGCTCGTCCAATACTGTCACGCCACTTCTGGTCACTACCGCACAGAACCTGGCTACAAAAGAGCAAGATGGCAGCCATAGTATTCAGAATATTTTGGCTTCATTTTTGCATAGTGGAGGGAAATGGTGATGCCATGTCCATTGTATATACAGTCAGTGACTTGTACAGACCACTGAAATATTTGTTCTTTTCCAATGTTCACCAACAGAACAATGAGATGACTCTTACTTATCCTTCTTCTGTCTGATAACAAATGAGTCCACCCTTTGATGGGCTTGTTATGATGGCAAAAACTCACTCGCCTTTGTTTGCTCATCACTGTAACTAGCAGATGTTACCCATAATGCCCACTTTATTCATTTCTTTGAATCCTATTTGAGAGTAAAAGGTGATAATTGTAGTTAAGACAAGGTGAAAAAGCTCACACTTATTAAAAACTGAGATTAGACAGGACTTATCCGCCTGAATCACCTACTTTTGTGTATTTAGTATGGACCTACTGTAGCCAAAGCCTTTCTGTCTGACTTCCACCACAGGGACAAAGACGATCTTAAACCAGCTCGACAGTCAGACCAAGCCCATCACTAGAACTACAGAGACATTCCAGGAATTCCATTTGTTCAGCTCATAAATGAACCAATTTACCAGCTATTTTGTTTTCACAGGTGAGTTGTGTTTTTAATCTGGAGCAATGATCAAGACAAAAACCTGTTAGGTCGCTGATGCAACTCAGCTTTGTTCTGAAATCTTGTAGAAGATACTGCAATAACTTCTAAGACATTACATTTGAAAAATGCAATGGCAGCACGGCCTGGTTAATGCACAGACGTCACTGTCAGCAATCATTGCAGCAGGCTGGTATCAACTGGTCAACCAGGACTTGGACACATTTATTTGTATGTGAAAGTTGGCAAAGACAGATTACTGTTAATACACCCCTCAAGCTGCTGTCAACCCAAAATTACCAGGCACTTTCATTATTCTACCAACCAAAACAAGCATTACAAGACCACAGACCTGCTATATGATAGCATGTCACTACTGAGGTAGACAAACTTAGTACCACTGGTAAAAATGACTATTGTCTGGCCATGATAGTGCCCATTTTCTCTTCTCACAGCAAGACAATGTTGAACCACTAAAATGCTAAAATATTTGATATTTCTGTAAATTAAATTCAACTTTCTACTCATTTCTTATTTTTTGCATCTCTCATTTGTCTGAGCTGAAACCACTAGTCCTTTGAGTGGAATGTGCTGGAGTAGCAGCAGGGGCCAAATGTCTAGAGCACAGCTGACCCTGTCAGCCATTAAACCATTCTCCGAGTCTGTTTCCTCTATGGGGGTGTGTTGATCAAGTTCAGAAACTCCTCTTCCACTGCCTAACAACAGCAACACTTGGTTCAAGAAGTTCTCCAACTGAGTCAAGCCTTCATGTTTCTTCAGTACCCCCGAAATGTCCAACAGTACCAGTAAAGAAAAACAACAATACACAGAGTAAGTATCAAGCTATCAAACTATCAAGCTAACTGTAGCACTGCAGGTTTCTTTTGGAGAAATTAGTGACCAGGGTTACTCCAGTCTCTATCCAATTGGCTCAGTTAGTGTGATTAGCTTGATAGGATGAGGCTCCAATCGTTACTTCATGGCAGATTTTGGGAGCTACTGCAACAAGACGCACACCAGAAAGTCTAAAAACCTCTGTCCCTCAATGAAAGAAATAATAGCACATAAAGTTAAACTACATCTCACATGATCTGAGGATGTGCCTGTAAAATGTTTGAAACCAGCTGAGGGTGGGATGAAACAGAATGTTCGTGACATCATGTGACAATGTGTTGAGACGTGCAAACTGGGTGAGACCAGCTGAGTCAGGTGACGGATGCGATGAGATAAAATGTCTGGGGGCGCCCTGTCTGTCTCAGTGGAATGTTGCTCAGTGAATCATTGTGTTTCTGATATACTATTGCTTCTTAATTAGCTTACATGTACTATTGTTGTCTATGATGCACCAGAGCTGGGAAACGCTCAAGTGCATCAGAGACAACAGAGTGAAGCTCACGCTGGTGTCTGTACCGGGCACGTGTTCATTCATGTAATGGAAGCACTTGGTGTACAAAGAATGCACAGAGGAGCTGCAGAAACACCTAGGAGAAGGGAAAACTAGGTCCAAATCTCAAACAGTTCACAGTGACGGAATTACTGGGTACACATGAAATGCATATACAGTATATGTACAGTGTATCCAACCCGCGGTAAAACACAGCAAATACAAACTACACACACTTCAAAAAGAGGTGTGCACAGTAGTAACAGACATTCTTTTCTTTCTATTATCTGTTGAACCTGTTTATATTTGGAGAAGTACAAATATTGCACTTCACTTTTAGTTGGACGTTTGTAAAAGAAAAAAGCGTGAGAGAAAGAGGGAAAACTGATAATGAATGGAGGGACCCAGTAGTGAATCCTCACCTGAAAGGAGGGCTTCTTTGGCACATAGGTCTTCCACATCTTGGCTTCCCTAGAAGCAGCCTTTTCCAGAAGAAAAGACAGCCTCTGGCGTCCCCAGGGTTTGGTGAACTTCATTCTTTCCTCCCCTGGTTGAGCCTACCTCCCCACTGGATACAGCTATCTGCACAATGACACAGCATGTCAGAACATAAGATAATCAAATGCACCTAATCCCTCAAGAACAGATGAGCATGGTTTACACTTTGGTAAAACAGTGCTGGTTTACATGATTTCATGACTACATTTTGTGTCAATAGATCAGATTTAAGATAAAGCATTATCTTAAATATTAGCCTAATAGTTTACACTTATAGCGTGGTGACCAGTTGACAAAAAACACATTCAATATACCAAGGGTTTTATGCTCACAGCAATGTATGGGGTGATATGATGATACAAGGTATACTTGTTTGTTAATATCAGTTTGCCAGCTGTCAGAAATTCTGTTTAAACCACCACTACTGTAGTATCTTGAGTGTATTGGGTGATTATGGGCAATGCTACAAACCACCTAAGCCCTGATTTACAGCAATGCTGAGTTTTGATATAGTACAAATCAGTTTACCAAAAACCGACATCCCTCTCTGATTATTTTAACAATTAAAAGTTCTCAGGACTTTTTTCCAGAAAACATGTATTAGATTACAATATATACTGACACTAATATATATAATTTACATATACTTGGATCTAGGAAATGGATCAATACACCCATCCCTAAAGCAATGCATGAAGATTAAACAGACTATTGTTTCAGCTAAACATATTTTTTCTGCCTCCTATAATGTTAATAAGGGAATAAACAGCTTTTTTTATTTGAGTGCAAGAAAGATTCTGTCAGATTCAGTCCAGTTAGTATTTATCATTTGGTTTAAGTAGACCCCAAACAGGCAGTTTTAATGTTACCCATTTTCTCTCATAACCCCATGAGCATAGCCTTTGTACTTTATGTAACATTATTCTGCATAAAGTTACATAACTTACTAACCTACTTCTACGAACTTAAATTAGTCAATGTCTAACAAGAGTCTGAGTGAGGATCAAACAACCTTCCTTTTGTTAGCAACTAAGGTCACTAAGTATCAAGCTATCAAACTATCAAGCTAACTGTAGCACTGCAGGTTTCTTTTGGAGAAATTAGTGACCAGGGTTACTCCAGTCTCTATCCAATTGGCTCAGTTAGTGTGATTAGCTTGATAGGATGAGGCTCCAATCGTTACTTCATGGCAGATTTTGGGAGCTACTGCAACAAGACGCACACCAGAAAGTCTAAAAACCTCTGTCCCTCAATGAAAGAAATAATAGCACATAAAGTTAAACTACATCTCACATGATCTGAGGATGTGCCTGTAAAATGTTTGAAACCAGCTGAGGGTGGGATGAAACAGAATGTTCGTGACATCATGTGACAATGTGTTGAGACGTGCAAACTGGGTGAGACCAGCTGAGTCAGGTGACGGATGCGATGAGATAAAATGTCTGGGGGCGCCCTGTCTGTCTCAGTGGAATGTTGCTCAGTGAATCATTGTGTTTCTGATATACTATTGCTTCTTAATTAGCTTACATGTACTATTGTTGTCTATGATGCACCAGAGCTGGGAAACGCTCAAGTGCATCAGAGACAACAGAGTGAAGCTCACGCTGGTGTCTGTACCGGGCACGTGTTCATTCATGTAATGGAAGCACTTGGTGTACAAAGAATGCACAGAGGAGCTGCAGAAACACCTAGGAGAAGGGAAAACTAGGTCCAAATCTCAAACAGTTCACAGTGACGGAATTACTGGGTACACATGAAATGCATATACAGTATATGTACAGTGTATCCAACCCGCGGTAAAACACAGCAAATACAAACTACACACACTTCAAAAAGAGGTGTGCACAGTAGTAACAGACATTCTTTTCTTTCTATTATCTGTTGAACCTGTTTATATTTGGAGAAGTACAAATATTGCACTTCACTTTTAGTTGGACGTTTGTAAAAGAAAAAAGCGTGAGAGAAAGAGGGAAAACTGATAATGAATGGAGGGACCCAGTAGTGAATCCTCACCTGAAAGGAGGGCTTCTTTGGCACATAGGTCTTCCACATCTTGGCTTCCCTAGAAGCAGCCTTTTCCAGAAGAAAAGACAGCCTCTGGCGTCCCCAGGGTTTGGTGAACTTCATTCTTTCCTCCCCTGGTTGAGCCTACCTCCCCACTGGATACAGCTATCTGCACAATGACACAGCATGTCAGAACATAAGATAATCAAATGCACCTAATCCCTCAAGAACAGATGAGCATGGTTTACACTTTGGTAAAACAGTGCTGGTTTACATGATTTCATGACTACATTTTGTGTCAATAGATCAGATTTAAGATAAAGCATTATCTTAAATATTAGCCTAATAGTTTACACTTATAGCGTGGTGACCAGTTGACAAAAAACACATTCAATATACCAAGGGTTTTATGCTCACAGCAATGTATGGGGTGATATGATGATACAAGGTATACTTGTTTGTTAATATCAGTTTGCCAGCTGTCAGAAATTCTGTTTAAACCACCACTACTGTAGTATCTTGAGTGTATTGGGTGATTATGGGCAATGCTACAAACCACCTAAGCCCTGATTTACAGCAATGCTGAGTTTTGATATAGTACAAATCAGTTTACCAAAAACCGACATCCCTCTCTGATTATTTTAACAATTAAAAGTTCTCAGGACTTTTTTCCAGAAAACATGTATTAGATTACAATATATACTGACACTAATATATATAATTTACATATACTTGGATCTAGGAAATGGATCAATACACCCATCCCTAAAGCAATGCATGAAGATTAAACAGACTATTGTTTCAGCTAAACATATTTTTTCTGCCTCCTATAATGTTAATAAGGGAATAAACAGCTTTTTTTATTTGAGTGCAAGAAAGATTCTGTCAGATTCAGTCCAGTTAGTATTTATCATTTGGTTTAAGTAGACCCCAAACAGGCAGTTTTAATGTTACCCATTTTCTCTCATAACCCCATGAGCATAGCCTTTGTACTTTATGTAACATTATTCTGCATAAAGTTACATAACTTACTAACCTACTTCTACGAACTTAAATTAGTCAATGTCTAACAAGAGTCAGAGTGAGGATTAAACAACCTTCCTTTTGTCAGCAACTAAGGTCACCTAAACCTCCTCTAGTAAGCACAGCCTTTTGGAAACCACCAGGTTTCCCAAAACAAGTGCATTACCGAGGGTTTCCTTTTATTATTACCCCAAATACGTCTATTCCCCGGAAGGGAGCTAATTTGACAACCTAATGTCGCTAACATCTTGCTAGTTGTGTAATGTCGCGCACAAATGCAGCGTTTAACAAAGAAACAAACAAGCAAGTCTGAAACAATTGTCTATGCCCTCGGTTGGTGTCACATAAGAGGTGCTCTTGTGTGTTTACGACCACGACTGAGCTGACTACACAGCAGGACATTTAAATGGCTGACTTAGACCCAGTCAGTAGACGGAGCCCCAAGCCTTAGCTTACCTCCCCTGCGAAGCGGAGAAAACCACAGCTGGATTTCATCCGGTCCACTCAAGTCAAGGATAAATGAAGGGGTGAAATCATGCACCTGTTCTTCAGTTTAGTCATCCATTTTGGCTTCCATGGTGGAGGGCTGTTGTAAAAAATATATAAAAAATAAAAATAAAGGAACGGAATATAGACAGAAACGTCTACTTCCGAGGAGGGGATCCGGGGGAAGAGAGAAAGAACCAGGCTCCGCCCACCTTCACAGAAGGACAGAGCAAGCCTACCTTATCTCCACGGTTTGCCATAATATGTTATATTAAAATAGAAATAAAGACAAGATTTCTATAGGTACTTTCAGTGTGACTCAATTGTCAGTTTATAGTAAACCTACTGTACTTTATAACGTCTTCGGTGATATAATTTTTATAATTTATTCATTACTTTATTAACAAAATATAGCCTACATCTTAAAAACGATACCAAAAGCAAGGCATACCACAGATGACAAGGCAGAGTAACATTAAATTCATTTATAAGGGTACAGTTCAAATCAATTCTAGGCTACACTTAGATTATACACCTGAGGTTTATATTTTTGTAGTTTTCATTTTACCTTTGAATGGGAACACCAACACCAGTTTTTTCCAGAGAGCAGGAGCATCCTTCTGAATTTTTGGAGCATGCAAGCATTTGTCAAAGGAAATATCCTTTGCTGGAAAGGTGGACAATTTGGTATTTTCTGAAAGTCAGATTAAGCAGATGAGTTATGATTAGTCTGCAAAATCATTATTTTATGGCAGATCTTACTGTAAGATTGACTATGTAGGCTATGTCAGGTAATATGACTTCTAGGCATACCTTGGGTTATGTGGTTTCTCACCATGAAAAACTCCTAAGTGAATGTTAATGTATTTGAAGACTTTTTGGCCACTACAGCAGACAGTTGAAAAAATAATTGTATTTTGAGGGATCATACGCGGGTAGTCAGAATTATAGGTAAACCTATATTATCACAATTAGTTATCTGAAAAATATTTAGCTGTTGTATTGCTGGCTATTGCCTTAACTTCTTCTGAGTGTAGGTTGTTGTCGTCTTTACATTTAAAATTTGACTATATCTGTGTCCTTATGTTGCTAGCACCTCAACAAAAACCACAGAAATGAGAACAACGTTCAACATTCAGACATTTTGACGTGTATACTAATACAGGGTGCAGTTGACAATAACTCAGGCAAAAGGCACTAACGTAATACCAACGTTGCGTCAGGACGCTTTCCAGCCATTAGCCAATCAATGTATCCAATTTTGGGCGGACTATTTGAACAAATCAATCTGCGACTCGCTGATTGGCTAACGGGAACATCAATAAGAACGGGGCCTGATGTAATAATACACTATATTTTGATCCCAGTGCCATTAGCAGTTGATTGAAAATTAATTATCGGTATCAGGTACGAACTTCATGACAAAAGTGTTATAAATTACGCCAAAATGACACAAACACATTAGCAGTAGGCTTTAATATTTGCGGTTAAGCCCTAAAGAAGGTGATAGCTATTCATGAACTCCAGCCTTTTATTGGTCGCTGGTGTATCACGCCTACTTGTGAGCGTGAGCTTTATGAACGTCAACAAAAGAGAGAAACAAGAAAGGAGAAAGACAAGAAGGAATAAAGCTGATGGTATTACAGAAACAATAGATATGTGGATTTAACTCACAGTAACAGGTACTGTAAACATTTACATTTCTAATAAAATTATATTTTGTTATATAGACTTCGCATAGCCTATCCGCTTAACGTTAAGTATATTTTAACGTTACATAGCTGTTTTTCTGCCAACATAGCGTTAACTCAGTGAAGGAAAATGATCAAAATGAATCTTCGACAAAGGTCTTAACAAAAGCCGATAGTCTAAAATAAATAACTCGTCTCTTTTCATTTTCGAATATTTCTACTTCTAGAATTTAGACAAAACTCGAACATTGAAGTGTATTTGTAGTTTCTGTTTCTGTAAGGAGGTAGTGCTGTTTTGCGTTAGCTAACTAACGCAACGTACATTTAAAAATCACAGTTTAACATGATTTTCTTCATTTGGCCAAGTTTTCTTTTTGTCCGTTGTTGGTATGCTCTGGCTCTGTCTGGTATCCGAGCAGACCTTTTACCCCACGGCTAATGTTCGGTTATATTCACCGGAAGGAACCACTACAAGTGCTTTGTCAACAAAAGTTATGGTAATGCTATACTGTAATCTATAAAATTCTAGTTTTACGTCGATAATCGTATTGTACATTTATAACATGATAGACATTTGTACCATTCGCCTAATAAAAAGAAGAAGCCCCTCCCCCGTTCGCTCAGAGAGGATTTAAAACGTTAGCTAGCTGCGGTTTACGTTAGCTTCTTTGGTTGCCATCGGCTTTAACGACACAAATGAGGATTTTCAGCCGGCTGGTTGTGCTTTATATGCTTTAGGTGGTTTATTAACACACGGAACTTCGAAAGAGCGTTTGTTTTTCGATCAGAGAACAGACGGCGTCAACCAGAGGAAATCTGACTCCGGACTCTGAGAGAAGTGGGCTGGGCTCTGAGCTGTGGCCCCCTGTTAGAGCAAACGTAGGCCGCTGATATACAGTCAATGAAAACCTCTTTTTAACCAAACATTAACACATGGTTTTATCCTATCAGTATAACATTACCTACACATTGGCTACAAATGAATACTTCCTATATAAGAACGATTTTTAACCCCGATGTTAAAATAGTTTTGAAATAAAAAAAATGCTGCTATTTGTCTTCAAAGGTGTCAGGATAATATTGCAAAACTCAGATATATAAAGTTTATAATGTCATAAAAGAGAAAAGCACCAGCAAGTCTTCACGTTGGAGGAAATGTGACCAGAGAATGCTATTAATTTTTATTTTGATAAATATACAGCTAAGTAAATGAATTCTCAAAGTTGTTCTTGATTGATTTTTGAGATTAATTGCTGTGGAGCAGCTGTTTTGACTAATTTATGTGAGTTACAGCATTAGTTAGACTTTATTTTGGATTGTTAAGAGATCATTATGACATTATCACTTGTGTTTTGTAGCTGAATTTTGGTGCTTTCCTGTTTTGCAGTAAAATCACTGTGGCGAAAACTAGAAGTCAGTTCTTCCCGTGCCAGCTGCAACATGGACGCCTTCAAGCTGATGAAGGAGCTGCGGGTGAATCATGAGCATGAGGTTTATTATCTCCCTAAAGAGACGGGACTGATGCTCATAGAATCCACAACACGGGTGGGCACATTTGATAAATTCTGATTCAGTAAATCGAAAATCTTCTCTTCACTTTATTTTTCCACAATGTTAGTTGTCAGTGGTGCAGCATATAAACCAGGTCAATTAACAGCAAGTCTTTGTTTTCCAGGACGATAATCGGATCTCAGCCAAGTGCAGAAATGCCAAAGTGGAGGACCTGTGGAGTCTGACCAGCTTCTTCGGTTACAGCACACAGACCTTCGTCCTGGCTGTTAACCTGCTGGACAGATTCCTGGCCATGATGAGGGTATGACATGCTTACATCTGATAGGAGCAGACACAGGACACTAGCTTTCTGCTGACTCAGTTTGCCAGCTTATAGAGTTTGCAAAAGCATGTAGCATCGGCCTCATTCTAACAGCTGAGGACTGTAACTGATTAATTTGGTTAAAAGGATTCATCTTGAGATTACACATTATGTGCACTAAAATGAACAGGAATTACAAAAAACTATAATGGTCCAATTAATAATCGTGTTACACATTAGTATTTTCAGTCTTGTTGGTGGACCTCTTGTTTAGTGCCTCCCCAATTAAGTCATTTCCAGAGTTTCTAACTCATCATTTGTCCCTCCTCAGATCCAGCCAAAGCACCTGTCCTGTGTCAGCCTCAGCTGCCTCCACATGGCGGCCAAAGTAACAGAGGAGGAGTGTAACCTGACGCCCACCGACGAGCTCATCCGCATAGGACAGTGCAGGTTCACTGTGGCCGACCTGGGCAGGATGGAGAAGATTGTCGCAGAGAAGCTCAACTTTAACTCTAAAGCCATCACTGCCTTAACCTTTCTGCACTTGTACCACCAGATTTTACTTTCCCATTCCACAGACAGGTGAGACAATACAGGTGGATACAGGAAATGATAGTATGTGACTTATTATTTTGTAATGTTTTCCACACTGGTTCTCTGCTTAGGTTTTTTGTTAGTTTTTTTACGTTCTGCATCAGCTTCAAACTGATTTTCCTGCAAATAACAAGTCTGCAGACTCTTGACGTATATTCATGATTTATTTATTTTTAATCTTTGAACCTCAGCTTTTCCCATGATCTTAGTGACAGAGGTTCTCCACACCACAGCTTGTTTGCCACTGCAGTTCCACATAATATAGGGCAGCAGTTATCTATCAGCCGACTTCAACGTCTGACTGAAGTACACTGATAAGATCTGTTGTTGGCTGGCACCAACAGCTCACGCTTACATAACCGTGGCATGTTTTCATACAGTTCAGCTGCACTTTGTTTCAGAATTCTATCACATCCAGTTTATGTCAGTTTTGTTGATCACCAGTTGATTCAGTTTTAGGAGTCTCCAGAGGTCTTATAAATTCAGTTCGTCTTGTTTTTCACTCTGTCTAAAAACGGGTCATTTGTGAGTGGGTGAAAGTTTGTTCTGTCTGTCTGGGAAGCAGTTACCTGAAAACACACCTGAACCTGTGTGTGTGTGTGTGTGTGTGTGTGTGAACAGGAAGGAGACTCTTAACCTGGAGAAACTGGAGGCTCAGCTCAAGGCCTGTCTGTGCCGGATCTCCTTCTCCAAAGCAAAGGTAGGAACTCATAGCGGGGATCAAATGTCAGACTCTGCAGTCAAATGAGTCACTCAGAAATAAATATAATATCATCACTGTTAGTTTAATATAAATATGTCTTCCTGTGTCTCCCTCCCTCTATGTGTCTCTCTAGCCGTCCATCCTAGCCTTGTCTCTCCTGAGGCAAGAGATCGAAGCCATTCAGTCGGAGGACATGTTGGAAATCGCGTGTCACATCCAGAGACACCTAAAGGTAAACAAAACTCATCGGCTTTATTACACAACACCTCAGGCAGGGAGCGAAAGGAACACCTGTGGAAACCTCTTGTAAAGGGGAAAAAAAGTTTGCTTTTCCACAACAGAGGCAACACAAACAGCAGCTTGACGCAAATGAATCTGAGGAAACGAGAGCCTAAAGGTTTAATTTCACAGGTGTCCAGTGGTTTCATAGAAGTAAAATGATTTATTGGTGTCACGCCACAATTCCCTGGAGCAACTGCAAACATTCTGGGACCTGTGGAGATGGTAACTCCACAAACAGCTATATAGCCTGCAGGCTTCACAGTTACGCTTTCTGGCTAGATGAAAAGGAAGCGAACAATTAGCTGAATGGGCGTGTAATCATATTTCCAATCGCAGCAGTAGGGGCAAGGTGTTTATTAAATCTTAGCCTCTTTGTTTCTGGCGATGTAATATGGTGCCTTGTGTCATGTTGTGGCAACTTGACAACAAGCACAATAGTTTTATTTTCAGAACATTATCAGTTTACACACAACTTGGTCACATTTCTCTGTTGCCTCCCAGCCATATTCATACACAGTAACTTTGGACCTGCATTATCTTTTTTATTTGTTATTTTACTGAAGTCTATGTGTAATTTAAGAATGTTCCACTGTGGAAATGTGACTTATTTGCAGCCTGTATCATGGGATGTTGCTGCCACAGATACTTTAAGTCTTACAACCCTCCCACTTACAAACACTTAATGTACAGATGTTAGATAAGAAGGTGTTCAGATTTCAGCACAGACCTACAGAATCTGTAGAACATGGTTTTCTCTTAACCTCCTGACCTGGAAAAAGAATCCAGATTTCAGCTGAGCCAGATGTTTGAAGGTACTGCAGTGTTATGTAACACGATTAGTTTGAATACACTGATGTCAGCTAATGTACAGGGCAGAAAGCCAAATGGCTAAACTGTACTGCTGTGTTATTTGGTGTCAGATTGCAGATGGTGAGCTGCTGCTGTGGAGGGAACGTGTGGCTCAGTGTCTGTCAGACTATGCCTCTCCTGAATGCAGCAAACCCAACCACAGGAAGCTGCAGTGGATAGTGTCGCGGAGGACTGCCCAGAACCTGCACAGCTATCGCATTGTCCCTGAGCTACCCACCATCCCCGAGGGCTGCTGGGATGAGAGCGAAAGGTCAGAGCCCCAAACACACCAACTGTCACTGCTGCAACTCACCTGAGCAAGATAAAATAACCTCCCTACATCCTTCGCTTAAGACTGCAAATACACACATACTGAGAAAAGGAACAGGGGCAAATATTGATCAGTATTTAACTGGAAAACATTTTTCTTACCTAGTCCTTCTGGAATTCAATTAACAGTCTCGGTACAGGAACAAAGACAATCTGGGGTGTGTTACCAATACCAAAATAATGTCTTTACATATGTCCATTTGGTTATTGTTCCTTTACTTAACAGAACAAGTTTTAAAATGATTTGTTGTTAAGGCTGAGAATATGACCGAGCATTCACAGCTACTATTCAGAAGCTCATGATTTTTTTTTTATACATTGTTTGATACTTGGTGCAACAAACACTTCAGTCAGAACATGTTGTTGAAATGAACAGTGACGTTAATTCTGATGTCAAACTGACGTCATGTGACAGCTCTCAGCTGGCAAGTACCAAACACTCCTAGCAGCAACAGAGCATTTAAAATAAAGGGAAGCAGACACACCCTGTGTCAGCACACAAAACATTCCACTTACTACAACAGCGTAATAGTGAAACACACTGTAAAAAGTCTGCCCTAACATTTCTGTATAATACACAAAGTCCACAAGAAATGAACAGAAATGACTTCATGCCACTAGTACACATTAATTCGGCTTCTCATCGAAGAAATTTGACTGCATCAGCCAAAAGTGAAGCTTTTGCTGCTGTTCTTCTAACAACTAGGACTGTAGTACAAGTCCCCACCAGATTACATTAGACATGTTTTACAGTGTACTGTATGAGTGCAGTAACAGCACTCTGAGGCAAGCAGCTGTGCAGCAGCACACAAGTTTCTGTCATGTTGTAACACCACAAGACGCACACAGACCCGCCCCTCTGATGATCTGAACTGTGGGACGTGTGCGAATCACTGGTCACGTCCCACCGACACCACATGAGACAAGATAGCCTCACCTTTATGTAACATGGGATTCGTGGAGAACTTTTTTTGACATTGGTGTGTAAAAACAAAAAGGAACCACGGAGAGCTGGCTGACATTTGTAAACATTGATCATTAATCCACAGAGCAGCTCAGCCCTTCACCCACAAACTTAATGACCAGCAAACCTTTGTCTTAACTTCTCATATGAGGTTACGTCACAACAGAGAATCAGCAGATGGTAACAGTCAGCTGACTTGGACACAAGTCAGAACATGAGATCAACTGATGACAGATGTCTACATGAAATAGAGAAACTGTTCTTTTTTCAGTCTAGCAGTTTTTTCTTGCTAAATCATGTAAACTCCATGTGTTGTTCAGTAGCTCATGAATGATGAAATCCGATGAGGGCAAAGAAACGGTCATTTTCACTGGTAGTTAATCCATATATCTCTCTATTCATGTTTTTACAGTTTACTTAAATTGATGGTTTTTTGTTTTGCTTGTTTCAGGACATGATTTTCTTAATGACTGAAAATCAAAAGTTAGAATTTTCAGCAGTCTTCTAAAAGTAAATTGTTAAGGGCAAAGATTAAAATCATTTCCTCTGATGGGGACAAGAATGAATCTTTTTATTTTTTATGATTGTACTCAGTCAAATAGATGATGAATTAAGAATTCAAGTGAAACATTACAAAAGCTGTGAAACAGAATCCAGACTGTACCCGACCAGATTCAGTCGTCCAGTCAGCCTGTTAGCTGTGTGTATGTGGCTGTATTTTGACAGTGCATCTCTCGCTCTGTGTGTCTACAGTGAGGATTCCTGTGAGGATGTGATGAGTTCAGGTGAGGAGTCCCTCAGCAGTTCTCTGGGCAGCGATGCTGAAGGGCCCTTCTTCCCTCTGCACATCCGCCGCCAAAAACACTGCCAGCACCTTCTCACCTGAAACTTCAGCCGACTGGTGCCCACCCCCCACCAAATCCCCCTCCACTTTACCTGATGACTTTTAATTTATTAAGAAGCTTGGTGCTGGTAGAAAATTGCACAACAACTGGCAGCTGAGCAGTCAAGACTCTTCCCAGCAGACTTTTTAGGAGATGTGTTGGTGCATGTTGAGATATCACATTCCAGGATGCAGGATTTTAAAGCTATGTTTGGCAGGTGCACTGGTCAACTCAGTGCAGCAGCTGCTCTTTAAGGTGCTATGCTGGCAGACGCTGCACCCAGATCAAAATATTCTCAGTGCTTGATATAGACCAGACTAGCAGTAGTTCACATTGACAAGATAATCTGCCAAAATAGTTTTTTTTTTTTTTTAACTGTTATTAATCTAAGACTGTTTATTAATGATCAGCAGTCTATCAAGGTACAGAACGAAGTTTTAAGCCGTCAACTTTGTCGTATTACCGGCTTGGGAACTATACTGGAGCATCTGCTGTCATTTTTTCTGACCACACTGTAGTCTCCAGATGTGATTGAGAACTATTCAGCTGCTCTGATCCTCTGTAGTAAAGTTTAATTTGCACAGTTTCCTTTTTGTCACATTTCAAATGTTAAATTGTGGAACTGGAGGTTGGAGTTTATGTCTGAAGGGAAACTGATGTGTTAGCAGCGTTTTTCTTCGAGGCATCACCAAGTTTCCCACAGGGTGTTCAGATGAAACCATTTAACATGTGTGTTTGTGGATGTGTTTATCTAAGGTCTGGTTTAAATTTGAAGTTGCCAATTTTAGGATGTATGTTAAGTCTTTTGGTGTTTTGAAACTGTTGTATGACGGTGTCAAAAAAAAAATCTGAAAAATGTTAATACAATAACATGTAAAACTACATGATGTACAAAAAAAACTGTTAATAGTTCTTTGTAGATATTATTTATTCTTTTTTGTCACCTGAAAAAAAATCTTATAAAATTAGTATTTTTAATCATTTGTCTGCCTTTTTCCTTCCATCATATCTAAAAACAATCAGCCGCTGGCTTCCATGAACCAGATGATGCAGATTACATGAAGGGAAGAAAACTGAACTAGACACTGATGTAGCATGACAGGGAGAAATGAAAGCTTCCTGCAGATATTTGGTTCAGGTTTTCAGAGTAATGTCATTTCAGGGAAAAATGTATATATCATGTGAGACAAAGTTGTGACATTTCATAAGTAACAAGCCTTTAAGCCACCAAGAGCAAACATCGGAGTATCAAGATAAATACTGACCTCAAAATATAACAGCCTTCTTCTGGAAATGTATCAACCTCGTCTCTAAATTTCATATTTTATTGCACAGTAGCCCTAATACCAGACAGGGGTCGAACCAGGAGACCTCTAAAAGTAGAAATAAAAAGTCAACTTGCCAACATATTGGGTTTAATCTGGCAGCTAAAGTCATCCGTTTTCTATGCACATCATTTTTTCTTTTAGAACAG